AAAGGAATGAATGGATGTTTACATAACATCTACGAAAGCGTAGAGAATCTGAATAGCTCTTATATGAAGAGATCGAAAGACATGATAATAAAACCTGAGTGTCCTGTTGTAATCTCTTCAGTTCCTCTTCAATTGTTTAATTACAATGTTCCGCAAAAAAAAAAAAAATGTATACAAATGTTCTTCGGCCAAGTGCTCTTATGTCATGGAAGGTGTTTACAAGATTTGCCCGCTTTGTAAGAACTCTATGTCGATGGTTGTGTCGGCCACTGACGGGGGTTTTGTGAAGGAGACAGTTAAATACATGGTGATGGATGACTTGGTCGTCAAGCCACTATCTGTATCCAACATTATGGGCCACGTTAAGGATGTTGTTGCGCTGCATGAGGAAGTTGTACAGTTTGGAATAGAGGAGGTACCTAACCACTTTTAATGTATAATTTTTTTTATATATATTTTTGGACAGTATTGTTACCTCTGCTACTTATTATTTTGCAGGCACTGAAGTTGCTGAAATTATCCTTGGAGTCGAACACAGTGCTAACAACTCTCTTCACGAGCAGAGTAAAAGTGGAGAATTAGCTTAGTGCTAAGAAATAATGGATCATGGGATATTTCAGTTTAATAAATTGCTTTTTAATGGTTTTCTTTTTGTTTAATTTCCCGCAATTGTTTATTATGATATATAGTTGCAGTTATAAGTACAACCATTACTCATTCATCTTACCACAAATAGTTATTTCAAATTATTTGTCAATTTTCCAAGCAGGACACACTTCAAGATCAACCCAAACATCTCAACAATGGTAGGGTGTAAATCGTTTGGATAAAAACTGATCCAAATCAAAAAGTCAAATCAATTCGATTAAATAAATCAAATTTTATTTGATTTTGATTTTAAATTTTTAATAATTTATAGTATTTAATTTGATTTTGATTTTAACCATTAACCCACCCAAATTGACGCATGAACATCCCATAATTTTTATTTATTAATTATAAATTATATTTTAAATTTTTTTATAAAAAATATTAAAAAGCCCTTTTTTATTAATATCGATATTAATAAATAATATATATAAATAAAAAATGTTAAAAAGATCAAATAATACTCCTAACTTAGTAAAAATATCATACTTATTTATGAATATTTTTTTTTAATGGTGTATAAACGGGTTAGTGTAAGTAAGAGAAAATGATCAAAATGGTCTTTGATGTATTGGAGTTACTTTATTTTGGCCCTTAATATATTCTAGGTGATTGAAATAGTCCTTCATGCATGACAAAATGTGTTCAATTTAGTCTTTTACCCTAAACTTAACAATTTATCCCCAAAAACTGTTAAATATAATTGTGAGGCCCACATATCTTACAAAATTCATCATTTTTACCATCTTTATTAGCTCAAAGAAATTTTACTAACGAAATGGCGACTGAGACCAAATTGAGCATGAAGCTTTTGATTGACACCAAGGCTAAGAAAGTTCTATTTGCTGAGGTTGGAAAGCGTAGAGAATCTGAATGACAGCTATTTGAAGTCTAAGGATATCATTTTAAAACCTGAGTGGCCAGTTGGAATCTCTTCAATTGTTTAGTTACTTTCAACGTAGAAGGGTCAGGGCCATTTATAAATGTTCCCCCTCCAACAACTGCTCAAATTGTGTCTCTTATATTACCGATGACCCTAGTGCTCTCTGTCCAGATTGTAGGACCCCAATGTCAAAAAAACTGGCTTATAATGCTCCGCCTATACTTGTTGCTACCAAAGGGGGTTTTGTGAAGGAGATGCAGGTTAAATACATGGTGATGGATGATTTGGTTGTTAAGCCCATGTCTGCAGTATCTAGCATTACAACTCTTAAAGACTACTTTAATGTCAAGGATGTTGGTGTACTGCACGAGGAAGTTGTTCAATTTGGAAAGGAAGAGGTAAGTGGTGACCTCTTTAATATACTTGTTTCAGGAATAGAATATATGACGGAGTCATTTTTTCGGTTTGATTGTATTCGTAAATCATACTATTGTTTTGCAGGCACTGAAGTTGCTGAAATTATCACTGGACTCGAAATCAGTGCTGACAAGTCTCTTCATGACCGGAGTGAAAATGGAGAAATAGATAGATTAGTGTCTTTCTTTTTATTTCTTGTTTTTTGTTTCGTTTCCTGTTGTCGTTGTTATGAACGGTAGTTTCAATTATGATTATAAAACCTTACTTCAATTCGTCTTAATTTTGTTTTCCGTTTATTCTATGTTTATTTATGACAATATTGGATCTCTAAATTGCAAAACAAACATCGTATTAAATTTTATACATAAATAATTTACCTCATAATCAATTACCAAAATGTGGTGCAACATATGTAAAATTTATAAATGTACAACTTATTACCGAACCACTAGTGTCTTATTTTAATCAACTAAATATGATGCTATTTGTCTCATGATTTTTAAGAAAAAAATGAAGACTTTTGAAGTTTTTGTCTAAATCAATCCATAGATATTTATGTGGCTCATTAAAGATAGAAAGAGGCTTTTAGAGTATTATTCTTGTAAGTACATTTTTTAAAAACAGAACGGTTCCACGCAATATGGTTAGAGAACTTTATTGCAACTCCTAAAGTGCCTACACACTTTCTGATCGAGACGTTACTTTGGACAACTACTTGAATTCTTCTCTTTTTTCTTTTTTTTTGAGATTAGTGTGAAGAATCTTGATTAGTGTAGCATTTAACTCGTCGGCTACATCAAATATTTGATGACTGTTAGACTACCGAGTCAAAGATGTATTGAGGCTGATGCATCCACACTAACCTCTTCAAGAACAAGATTTGTCCCATTTAATTTGACATAACCAAAATGACGTCTACTGTTGATACCAAATTGAGCATGAAGCTTTTGATCGATACCAAAGCTGGCAAAGTAGTATTTGCTGAGGCTGAAAAGAATTGTGCCGATTTTCTCTTTCACATTCTCTCGTTGCCAGTGAGTACTGTCATTAGGCTTCTCAACAAAGAAGGAATGACTGGATCCTTTTAAAGCCCAAGTCTTCAATTGGAACATCTTCAGAGGATCTTTTCTTATTTCTTGATGATGTTACCACAGTACATGACAAGACTTTCTATGGATGCAATAACAACAACATACCTAATGATATCTCAACACTAAGGAGAATCCACTGCACTAATTTTAACTCTGGCTGTTCCATGTCGGTTACCCAGTATCCTGATGCTATATGTCCAAATTGTGGTCAAAGAAGATGAATTATATTGCTTCAGAGGGAGTCAAAGGAGCTGTGGCTGCCAAAGGTGGTTTTGTGAAGGAAGCAGTGACATACATGGTGACGGATGACTTGGTTGTTAAGCCCATGTCCCCAATATCTAGCATTACCCTTCTCAACAAGTTTAATGTGAAGAATGTTGGTGTGCTGCAGCCTGCAGGAGCAAGTTGTAAATTTTGGAATGGAAGAGGTATATAATTCAGTTTGTATTAAATCATTTCTTTTGCTATGTGTACTCTATATATGTCCTTTTTGATTGGTGATTTTTTTCCGAATTAGTTAATTCTTCTGATTTTGCAGGTGCTGAAAGAATCTTTTGAGTCGAAAACAGTTCTCACAAGTGTTTTAATAAGCGGTGCAAAGCGGAGAAGAACAGAGTAAAACAGAGTATTAAGCCATAAGACATAATGGAGTTGGATTTTTCAGTTTATAGTCTTTGTCCTTTTTAATGGTTTATTTTTGCATTGTATTTTCAGTTGTCCGTTGCTTATATATCTTAGCACTACTTTGTCTAGTTTGAGTTTCTTTTTTAATTTACACATCTCTTCTCAAAAAATTAATATAATCGAACCTTAGTAGCTTCATCACTGCCCAGTGTTTTTAATGGAATCTTTTTATTAAAGACAGCATACACAGTGTTCAAGTTGATACCAAAACCACTAACAACCTCATCAGAAGGAGAAGTTAAGTGTCCTTCATATTTTGACGCTATCATAATGGTTAGGCAAGTAGGGGCTGATCCAACAGTTTGTCTATGGGTTCAATCTCCAACCCTTAACCTGGATTTTCTGTATTACATTCACCAAAGTAGCTTCAAAAATTGAGTTATGAATCCGTAACTCAAACAAGGTGATGGATTCCGTGGTTGAAATCGAAATCTTGAACCAATAGAATTAAAATCCTGAATCTATTTGTTTAGGCTGACATCCATAGTTCATTTCTTTTTTCTTCAGAAACCTAACGACGGTGGCCACCGGCAGTGTTAGAATGTGAAAGAGAAAATCAACAGTCCTTTTGAGCCTTGGTGTCAATCAATAGCTCCTTTTCTTTTTACCTTTGGGTCATAGTCCCTTTCATTTATTCTGAATGAGATATGTATATGGTGATCCAATTTTAACTCACACGAGTTCCTCCAAATAAGAATTCATATAAATCTTTTCCATAAAGTGACAAAGTATATATCTATGGGTAAATGCTAAATGACCATAACATTTGGTCAGAAATTTAAAAAATCTATAATATTTTTTTTATTTTAAAATAAACTGATTTTTTTTCTATTTTTAAATTAAAAGGTATTAAAGTTAAAAGAATAAAAATGTTTAAAAAAATAAAATAACATAGGTAAAATACCATGCTGGCCAAAGTTTCTGATTTTTCCTATATCGATATGAATTTATTCACATAAACTTACACAACGGCCATAAGAGAGAAAATGATTTACTTCCTGTTTGTTGGCGGCAGTATTAGAGTCTGACTATTCGATACAAATACAAGTGTGCATTTAATTTTAAATATTCTCTGTTTTTAGTATTATTAATTGAAAACTCCTTGAACTCTACACATTTTGAGATCAACGATGAGATTCTTGATTAGTGTACCGTTTTGTTTGAATTAATTTGGTGACTGTTACACTACTTTTTAAAACGATGAAGCAGCAAGCGGCACTATTTAAGCGTAGCTACCTCGGAAAATTAATATCTGAGTGCTTTAAAATACTGACAAAATGGCGACTGATGAGATCAAATTGAGCATGAAGCTTTTGATCGACACTAAGAATAAAAAAGTAGTATTTGCTGAGGTTGAAAAAGATTTTGTTGATTTCCTCTTTTACATTCTTACATTGCCATTGAGTACTGTTACTAAGCTTCTTAAGGATAAAGGAACGAATGGGTGCTTGCCTAACATCTACGAGAGCGTAGAAAATCTGAATGACACTTATATGAAGTCTAAGCATATCATTTTACAACCAATGTGTCCTGTTAATATTTCAAAAGCTCCTCTTCCATTGCTTGATGGCATTCCTACTCCAACTGCTCTTTTTAAATGTTCCGTCTCCTTCTGCACTGCTTATGTCACCGATGATCCTGCTAGTTGCTGTCCAAATTGTATGAGCCGTATGTCAATAAAAGTGGCTTATGCTGCAGATCCACCTGGAGTAAAGGAATCTAAGGCAGCAACAGGGGTTTTTGTAAAGGCTGTAGTGAAGTACATGGTGATGGATGACTTGGTGGTTAAGCCTCTCTCCCTATCTAACATTACCGCTCTTAAAGACTACTCTAATATTAAGGAGATTGTTTCATTGCACCAAGAAGTTGTACAGTTTGGAAAGGAAGAGGTAAATAACATGTTTTAGGAAATAAATAGTTACATGTAAATTTCTTATGTTGAACTAGTGTTCTTACTATAGAAATTTCAATATTAAATCATTTTTGCAGGCGTTGAAGTTGCTGAAATCCTCTTTGGAGTCGAAAGCTGTTCTGACAAGTGTTTTCATGAGCCTTGTAAAAGTGGAGAAATAGCTAGTCATTCAACATTTTACTGGAATTAGATATTTGCCTTTTAATGACTTTCTTTTGCTTCATTTACCGCTTACGTTGATTATGATCATCTGCTGATTCTCTTATCATTGGAAAAACTTTATCTGATTTGGAATTGTTTTTCGTAATTAGTTCTCGTCTCAATCATATTTTTTTTTAGATATTCAGTCATTTCTACCAATCATCACACAAATAATTTGATCGGATGGCTCAGGTTTCAGCTATACATTTCTCCCTCAAACAAAATAGTCAAGGCAAACAAAGTAACTGAACTGATAAGGTAGGTTATAAATAACCATTTCATTAATTTTTAATTCAAATAACGATAAAAGAATTCTAATAAAATATGTAATTCTTTTTTTTTCCTTCTAAATTGAAGTAGGATAAGTATCTAATAAAAAATAATTACTACTAGGGATCAATATGTTTAAAAAGAAAAAAAAATATGTTTATTTGTAAAAGGACTTTTTCGGACTTATTAATAGTGAAAATAGAGGGTTTTTTTAATATACCAATTACCATGACAATAATAATATTTTAGACCAAATTATGAACTAGGGACATTTTTTGTTTAATTTTGCATAGTTTAGCTATATTCTTTTTACCCTTTTCTGTAAACTTAATAATTTAATAAATGATTATAATTAATAACAAAAATACAGTAGCAACAACAATAAATCATTTTTAATTTTTTATCCTTTTTTTTAATTATGTGATATTTTATTTGTTTATTACTACGCCCAAATCCAAAAGTACAAAGCTACTTTCAACACACATTTCAAGAGTCGAAGAAAAGGATTATTTTCTTTCGATGTGGACTATTAGAATTTTGGGTGTGTTTGGTAAGGAGTAAAAAAAAATTGAAAATATTTTTTGATGTTTTTTTATATTTGGTTGGTTCAATGCTCTGCATTTCTTATTTTTTGGTAAATAAATTTCTTTTTTAAAAAAGGAGGAGAATGATATTTTTGGATGTAGGAAAAAATAGATTTATCAGTGATATTTTAAATTATTGTCACTTTCCTACTCACCCAATATTCCCTTCCAATTTCTAACCCCATTATCCCATCTCATTATCATAATATTTACTAAATTACATTTAAATATTTTGAGATAATACTTTTCGTGATTACTTACAGAACACTTAAAATATTAAGTAAGAAATCTATTTGTTTTGAAAGAAAATATAAATATTTTGAGTTAAGTAAGAAATCTATTTGTTTTGAAAGAAAATATAAATATTTTGGGATAATACTTTTCTTGGTTACTTACAGAACACTAAAATATTAAGTATGAAATCCATTTGTTTTGAAAGAAAATAGTTTCGCAGAAAAACATTTTCTTTTGTGCCATACACATTTTTTATTGCAATTCTAAGTCCTCCACACTTTGATTGAGTCCATTTATTTTTATTTATATCTATTATTCTAATAATATTTTTTCATTTTTAACATATTACGAAAAGATAATTATTTTCTAAATCACTATCTAAAACATAAGATTATATATCAATTATAATATTAATATGAGTAATGTAGTACTCCTTTTGTCCAATAATACTTGTCAATTATTGACTTTGCATACTTATTAAAAAAATTATAAAAGTATAATTTACTATATCACCATTTGAATATACTTTCACTGTCTAACAATAGTTGTCCACTATATTATTTTAGAATGTCCAACAATATTTGTCCACTTTATTAAATGAGAAAATAGTCAAATGCCCCCTTAATCTATTACCGAATTTTCAACTACACACTTATTCTTCACGGGGTTCTATTACCCCTTATACATTTTTAAAATAGAATATATATCCCCCTAAAAGGTCACACCAAGATTTGTGTTAGAAAGTGAATGCACTCGCCTACCACGTCATATATATTATTTTTTTAATAAAAAAATTATTATTTCTTTCTTTATTCTATTTTCCTTTTATATTTTTTTCTTCTCTTTTCAGCCTCTTTCTTCTTTTCTTTTTCTTTTTTCTTGACATTTGTTTGATGAAATTTTTTCTGCTATTGAAGAGAAAATTTCAAGTTTTGTTTATGATAGTTTTGAGCTTACAGTAATGAAATGTGTAGTTATGAAATTTCAAGTTTTATTATTGAAAGATAAAGTTATAAATCTTTGATAATCTTTCATTTTTTGCCATTGATTAATCTTTTTTCCACCATTTTCATCTTCCTTGAAAACATCAAAAGTTTATCAATCAACCCAACTCACTTCTTCCTTCCTACCATTAATATTATCAAGTCTTAAACCTTTGATATATTAAAAAAAAACTCAAGTTTTGAAGGAGTTGATGATATGTTTCATGTTTTCATCATCGATGACCGCAACAACAATTTTGAAAGGTAAAATCTGACGAGAATTTTATTCCTAATCGTTTCATCCACTATTTGATTGATACTCAAGTTATTTTCATGGATGAATTTGTCGAATTCTTCAAATTGAGGTAATAGGTACATAACAATGGATCTTTTCATTTCTATTTTCAAAATCACATATGAGTTTCGTTGACAACCCAAAATTCTTTTCGAACTTGAATTTAAATTATTAAACTAGGGCACCAAAAATCAAGAAAAGAATTTTCTAACCCGTTTGACCATGTGGTTAGGCATGATGATTAACAATTTGAATAATATTAATAAAGAGTTGGTTTTCAAAAAAAATCCTAATTTCATGCACAAATTAAATAATGAAAATTCTAGAATCAAGAGGAATAATGAAATTCCATGGTGAATCCAAGCTTAGAAAAGGTGAGTGGTGGAGAGATTTGGTTTATGTTGTTGTGAAGAAGAAAGGAAATAAATAAGAAAAAAGAATAATTAAAAATACACATATTTATGAAAAGAAATTTTAAAAATAAAGTCTTATTATTTGTTTTGGTCCTTTGAGAGAGTGAGATACACTCATTGTGCCACATAAGCGTTTAGGGAGTAAATTATATCAGTTTTAAACAATTCAGGGGGTAATAGGACACTCGTGAAGTTGGAGTGTGTAGTTGGAATTTCAGGTATAGTTTGGGGTGCTTTAAACCATTTTCTCTTATTAAATCAATGGATAATTTTACACTTAGTTCCTAATTTACCCTTATCATTATTCATCTCTCTATTACATTTTTCAAGAAATTGTATTTATTATATTCAAAGGGTGATATAGTAAAATTATCCTTCTATTTATAGTTTCTTAAACGATGTGTCAAGTCAATAGTGGACAACTACTGTTGGATAGGAGTAATAAATATAATGTCTTAAAAAATGTAATAGTGAATGACTATATATTATAATTAATAATAAGGGTAAATTAGGAATAAAGTGTAAAATTATAATTGATTTCATAAAGTGAACAACTATTGTTGAACCTTCTAAAATAGTATAGTGGACAACTATTTAAGAAGCAATAAATATTAGGGGTAATATTTCTATATTATTCTTTGACTTTATTAAATTTAATATTTTGAAAATGTGTTAGATGATAAATAATATTCAATATCAAAGATAAAATTGACACAAAAAGTAAATTATCTCTTGATTTTTAAAATTTGACAAGTATCATTGAATAACTATTTTTAATATAGTAAACAACTATTATTGAACGGAAGAAGTATTATTTTTTAAAAGGCGTGCATGGCAGGAAGTGGAAAAATAAAAGCCAAAGGAAAATACTTAGAAAAGTGCCATTTCTTTGGTCGAAATTTGACACTTAATTGGAACATTCAATGGCAACTCCTTGGATTCTCCGTTTTATTGAGATTAGTGAGAAGAATCTTGATTAATTAGTGTAGCGTTATTTGATGATGACTGTTAGACTACTCTGTCATCCATATGATGATGAATAAACTGAATCTATTTAAGCATAATTAATTAAGTCCTCATCCATACACAAGTATTTCTGCAAGAACAAAACATATCATGACTACTTGTAATTCTAAATTGAGTTTGAAGCTTTTGATTGACTCCAAGGCTAAAAGAGTCGTATTTGCAGAGGCTGAAAAGGATTGTGTTGATTTTCTATTTCACATTCTCTCATTGCCATTGAGCACTGTAATTAATTAGGCTTCTCAAGACTAAAGCCTAACCTCTACGAAAGCGTAGAAAATCTGAACGTCACTTATATTCAGTCTAACCAAGACAAGAACATACTTTTAAAACCCAAATCTCCAGTTGGGATCTTTTCTAGCACTTAATGACGTTCGGGCACAAAAAACATCTTATATATGTGCTAGTGCTTATGTTTGTGGTTCCACCACTTCTACTTATGTTACAGATGACCCTAATTGTCGGAACCGTATGTCAAGAAAGTTGACGTATCTTGCTCCACAGGGAGTGAAGGAGCCTGTGGGTACTACAGGCACTGGTTTTGTAAAGGAGACCGTGAAATACATGGTGATGGATGATTTGGTTGTGAAACCTCTTTCCATCGTATCTAGGCATTACCGGTCTTAACAAGTACTTTAATGCCAAGGATGTTGGCTCCCTGCAGGAGAAAGTAGTAAATTTAGGAATGGCAGAGGTATTCAAGTAAATTATATACTATGCATTCGTTCCAATTTCTGAAAAACTTCCACATAAATTATTACAAAAGAATTGCATATTGCTTATTCTTAATTTTCTCTTACATATGTTTGGTACTGAGAACTTTTGTTAACTCTTATGATCGTGCAGGCGCTGAAGGCATCGTTTGAATCAAAAACAGTTCTGACTAGTGTTTTCATGAGCAGTGCAAAGTGTAGAGCTAGCGGAGAATTATATGCTATTAGACATGAGGGAATTGGATGTTTCAGTTTATGTAATTGTCCTTTTAATTATTAGTGGTTTACTTTTGTTTGTAGATTCAGACAAGCATTGCTTATAAATCTTACTACTAGTTAATCTGGTTTAAGATTCTTTTTCATTATGTTGTCTGCTTAGATTCATCTGTTAATACTCCGTATTTACTTACCAGTATCTCTGAGTTTGACATCTCAAACCATTTAT